ATATAACAGATAATGTAAGTCTGGCCATTTTTCTTGATTAGATGAATCCTGAAAACAAAAATTGAGAGAGTGATCCATATCAGGGATTCAGGTATATTCGAAATAATGGTCGGCCAATTGGGGGTTTCAATAGTTGATTCTTAAATAATAATGGACTTTTAACTATTTTAACTTTTAAACCATGAATGATTTGTTTAAAATGTCCAATAACTTGAAATAATGTGTTGTTGTACAATTTAGTTTTTAATGGACAGACTGCAATTCACATTCTATTGTTCTTGTAAAAATATAATATGTAAATTGTTTTTGTTCCTTCACTGTTTAAAATTGTTACTTTTTTAAATTTAAGAATTTCTTAGGCTTTCCCTGCAATTTTTTTAAATGTCTTTTTGAATACTATTTACACCTGTCTTACATAATTCCCAAATTATGTTTTTTTTTTCTTTTTTCCTTTTAATTTTTACATTGTACAATGATGTTGAGGGGGGACAAACACATTATAAATAATGCAACATACATAGAAATCCATGTAAGATTATCAAATAAATAAATAAATGAATATTTTTAAAATATTAAAAACATTTTTAAACAATTTCCCAGTGCTCATACCTGCACCTAATTTATTAAGAATATTTTGTCTGTATCAGTCAACTGAATGAGAAAAAGGATCTTCAAAAGCACGTACCTGTTCTAGCAGAAATGTTTGAAGATACTCCTAAGTTGCTGGTGGGCTCTGAAGGGGCTTACTGAACTCTTCACACAACCCCTGCACTCCCCTTCAAACCCTCTGAACTGCTGTGGCGAACTGCAACATTTTTAAAGTGCTCCATGATCATTAAGAAAAAAAGACATGTCAGGAGCTTGCTGTTAGCCTTTTTGGGATTGGCTCTTGCAAAATCAGCTCATTGACCAATGAGAGTCCTGTAATTAGGGAGAAAAGCAGCAAGATCCAACTTGGAAGAGGGAGCCGGAAGGATGCAGACATAATCAAAGAAATACCTTTTTACTGATTGATGAATGAGGTGCCACATCTACCACTGAGACACAAACATGACAGAAAACCTTGTGATACTGATACCTTGTGAACTGAACATGTGATACTTTCTCCATTCTGCCATATGAATTATGACTTTATCAGTTCATGCACTTTAGATTATTTCACCAAGAGCAGTTGATCTTATTCTGAATCCTGCCATTTGCTCAATATTATGCAGATTTATAAAGTAAAGTAAAGCTCTATGGAATTCAAAGTTTACACTTCGCTTATGCTTAATTTTTTTTAAATAAATTAATCTAAAAACTTCTTTATGTAATATCATATAAATTAGTTTTGTTTAAGCAAACATATTATTTAATATGACTAACCTAACATCATTTACCAACAAGAAACTCTTACAGTATTGGAACAAGTGGAGGATGTAATGCTGACAAAATTTTCATTTTTGTGTGAAATATCTCTTTTTAGAAACCTTTATACAATAATGTTAAAGCACCCACATCATCTTCCTCATTCAAGACTTTTAGGCTTAAGTCATCTATGGCAAAGTGAAAACTGTGTAATGTAAGCTAATTAAAAACCAGACCCATGCTGTTAAAAAAAAACTCTCCCCAACAAGCAGATTCCTGTCAGCAGCTTTTTGAAGGTGTTATCTGGCAGTTTCTTCACACTCACTAAAGATTCCACAGGAAAAGCAGAAAGTGTCGGCCACTGTCATAAGAAACTGAAGGCAACTGAAGGCCAGAAGGTTACAGGATGCTATAAAAAAAATCAGGTTTGGGATAACGATCCAACTACTTTTTATGACAAGAACATCATAGATCAGAATGATAGCCTGTCAAATATCATTTTAGGTGATTCCTTCCCACCATATATAGCTGCAAAAATCTATAGCTGAAGGTATATGGTGGCTGCTTATGATTTAGGAACGACATCTGCAACATGCAACTCTTATGCATATACTACTGTATGTGACTGATTGTTTAATGGTGTCCACTAAGATCCATTCATCATGATGATGGGATGGCCAGATCAGCATGTCCACTGTTACACATATAATTAAAGTTCAGGCTTGCTGCAAACAGGTGTTTTACATAGCACATAAACCTGCAATCCAAGCTGGAAGCAGCTGAGCACACAAACACGATATGGCCTCATAATTCCAACATACCACATGTAGAAGAATGTGACATGCGCTCAGAATTTTGGAACACCTGGCGCCAGGGAAGAGTTTAGAAATCCCTTAGAAGACCAAAAAAAAATCTTTGCCCTTCACTGAAGCAATTTTTATTAATATATACAGTATCTATATTTACCAAATGTCTACTTATCTTTCCACAAATATCTAATTGCCCTATTTTACAAACTTTAGTGAAATAAGTGATTTTTGTTTAGCTTGTGACAGAACGAGTGTGGCTGGAAGGTCAAGGTGGTAAAACTCTTGAGGAGTTCTGCTTTTTTATTTCTTTTCTCACAGTTCACCTGTATGTCTTTGTAGAGTTTTATGAGACAAAGCCAGCTTTCACATCTTCTCACCTGGAAATAGGGCAGAGCACTTTTCCTTCCCTTCCACACATATAATGGCTCCAAAAAGGATTCTGACTTAAGTCACACCAAAAAAATGTGTGAATATCAAAATATCAAACCAAGTGACATTTTTCTTAAAAGCATATCACAAACACTCTTTTCAAGCTAATTTTCAAATGTTAAAAAATGCTATGGCTCGACAGTTTCTGGTTGTCAAACTGTACGTGCCTATAGTGATGAACTACATCTCTGGTTACTCTGAATGAGATTTTGTCTTTTGTAAAATAACTATATTTCTGCCATGCTTTTCCCAAAGCAGCAACAAAATGTGTAAACAATTGCATTTTATGGAAAACTAAAGGCCTTCTAGAAAGAGCTCATGTAAGAAAAAAGCCAAGTAAACAGAAATGATGTGCATGACACTGTGTGATTTACATGCCAGAAAGGACACGTAACTGAATCTGTCATTTATAATTTCGATGGGTGACATGAATCAATGTCATTAAAATATTATTAAGCTAAATGGATACAAATAATATGTTTATGAAACCTTTTGTGATATGGTTATCTGTATTTATCTATATTGTGGTAAACAAAGTAATACAATAGGTCTGTCAAACTGTGCAGACAATCTTTTTTTCATTTTTCTCTTTCTTTGAAGAACATTGGGATTAATATGTGTGGCAAATTAGGGATTTTTTTGTGGCTTGTTTGATTTTTATTTTGGCCCTGAGACACAAATCACACCACATTAAGCCACTCACTTCATAAAGACATTCTGCGGTAGTAAAAACATCTCCTGCTGGGCCTGAATCTTTTAAAGGACCACCAGATGCAGAATTATGGAAGAGTTTCTTTTTAATTGTTTCAGTATGTTTAGCTATAACCTATACAGTCACTCATGTTGCATCTTGTACATTTGTTCAGACTGAATGTTACTGAAAATATTGGTGTTGTTCTTGTTATCTGCTTTACGCATGTAATTATAAATAACTCTCCATAAAAAAAGCTGTGTCGTAATATTTAGTCTTGATCAATTATTTTAGATTTGAATAGTTCAAATTGAAGCAGTTTAATTCATGTTTGATGGGTTTAATGGATGAAGTCCTGCAGTGATGAGCATAAATCATACACATTTGAAACATGGCTATTTTGTTCTACTGACTTGAGGTAAAGTTTAGGTGATGTATGGATAGTGTGCTTTACAGGTGGACTACGAGTAAATCACCGGGTGCTGTTTAAAAGTGTCAGATTTATGAGGAGGACTGTTCCTCCCCTTTGCCTAGTGAAAACAGCTCATATTTAACCAGTACCTGGATCTAATGATGGTGAATACATTTATTATCCATTTAATCATGCATTTGGTGACAATTAACAATACACATTATCATTACAATTTAATTATAGCTTTTCCATTCCAAAATTACCATTACAATATGAAAAGTCACGTTTTTAAGTCCTTATTTTCTTAATATTCATTAGAAGTAATAACCATTCGCTTTATAATTTATATACAATTATAATTAAATATGTAAGTTTAAGTGAAGAAAAAAAATTTAAATGTGAAATTTGAACCCAATGAATATGTTTTGACCTCATTTAGGATTGTTTCAAAGTCACTTAAGATATTTTCCATTGCAAAACCTCATTCAGAATAATGACAAAACCACAATTTTGAATTGTACGGTTTTAATTACATTCTGGAGATTGTTCATACAACTATATTTTGCTTATTCTCTTCCGTTCTGACAGACAAACTTGCACAGGCATATAAGGCAATCATATGTGCGTGGCAGCAATCTAATAAGAGATATATAGGAATAAATAATACAATACAATTAAAAAAGTGATCAAACTTACACTGATTAGAATCATTTTTGGATAGCAGTCATTATAGTGACTGGCAGAAATTCCTATTCAGCCAACGTGTTATAGAAAGCGTTCGATACATCTCAAAACAAAATTCATAATACATCAGAAGTTTGTTAGAAACACTACATTTAGATACACACCAAGCACCACACTGTGAACAGAAACAGTCTTGGTTATATGTGCGTCTGTACTTACATTGATGAAAAGGCAATTATGAATAATGGGTCAGTTGATAAAAGACTACTCTCTTTTTCACAGAAAGCATGATAATGATCCCCAAAGAGACATTTTGATTTATAAAACTGACTAAAAGTACAATTGTCTTCTGTCTACATTGTTCTTGGGGATTAAATACATTTTACATTTTGTTCTTTTGCCTGAAAAAAAAAAAAAAACTTAAGGTCTTTGTGTACATTAAAGAGAAAGAGTTCACCCAAAAATGATCGTTATTTTCACACTTTCATATTTTTCCAAACCTGTATGAGTTCTGTGGAACACAAAAGATTATATTCTGTGTAACTGTTTTTGTTTATAAAATGAAAGTCAATGGAGTCTAAAACAACATTAAACACCATTAATGACAGAATATTCATTTTTGGTTGAACCATCCCTTTAAGCACTATTTGTTGAATATGAATATGAATCTAAATCATAATCTGTTCAACTCTGGTGCCTATGTGCTCTAGTGCCTAGTTGGTTCACTCTAAAAGAAGGTGCAAACTGAAAAAAAGTCTAAAACCTGACTACCCATGCAAAGGATTACACTAAGACCACCAGCTTTTCAGAAATCCTTCATGAAAAATACAAAAAACAAAATTAGAAAACAAAATATTTCAAATAAAAATACATATTTGTCACGTGTACTTCTCTACAAGGTGTTTCTGTTTGCTTATAAATGCTATCCTGATTGTCAGTTAGTGGGAGGCCCTTACTCTTTGGCCATGAAGCTTTATTTTATGAGTAATTATGTGAAGTTGAAAAGAGAAAAAATATTTGGCAGCAAAATATGGAGTATCCTGCATCTACCAGCCCATTAACAGCTAAACGAATGACTTTACTCTGGTCCATAACCCTCTGGTCATTGGCGGGTTGGAGGTTGACCGGAAACATTGTGAAAACAATTTCCTCCGATGACCCACTGAGATGGAGCTACGCCAAAACCAGCCACAATCACCTTCCCCGTGAAATACACTAATAGCCTCCTTCCACAGATGACTTTGTTTTTATAGCAAAACAACTGAATCACACCAGCAAAGTAAAACAATGAAATACCTTCATTACTCTGGACCTTTCCCTGTGAACCCGACATTTATCCTCCCACCCACATCCCATCACAGAGGGAAGCGGAACCCTTCTGAATAAAATCATTGGCGCCCTAGTAGTTTGGACAGAAAGCCTGAAGAGGGTTTGCTAGGTTTAGACGTTTCTGCATGGCTCGAGCGGTCCAGCCCCAACTCGCCTTCCAGCTGTTCCAGCTCTGATTGGTCCAACAACTCAAAGTCCTCCACCTCGCTGTCTGATTCCTCAGCCAGGGCCTGGACCAGCGCAGGCGCTATAGCTGCCTCCAGACGTTCCTGCATGGCCGCGGTTACTGCTGCTGTGATTACGTCTCCAGCCAGCCTCTGCACAACCTCCAGGGCCTGGGCTTCCTCCTCTGACTGTGTGGACCCGACCCTGCTGGGATGGGCTGGAGGGGTGGGCATCCCAATGCTCAGGTCTTCGTCGTCATCTCCATTTGTTCCCAAGCCATTGTCCAAGGAGGGAAACTCCGGTAGTCCACCGGTGAAGACTTCCTCGTCACTTCGCCGGTCTGAGTCTGTATCAAATATATAACACAGAAAATGCCCCCATTTAAAAAACAATGAGATGTATACACATTCAACAGGAATACAATTTTGTATAATATCTATTACTGAATGCATCAAAACTATATACGTTTTCAAGGTTTTAGACATTACATACATTTATCATAATGCTATAATACACAAAGAACGGCTCTAATACATAAAAAAAGGCTTTTATTCATTCAATTCTTCAATCTCCTTTTTTATAATCACAACATGCTGATGACTAATTGATTCCAGTGTACTAGTATATATTTATTTATAGTATACTAACACATAGTATACAGTTAATACCACAGTTTAAAAGTTTGGGGTCAATATGATTTTTTAATGATAGTTAAAAATAAAAAAAAGACAGTAAAAATATTAATATTGTGAAATATTATTAAAATTTTAAATCGCTTTTTGAATAATGCATTGTTATGTATGTTTTATGTATATGTACTTTGTATTTTAGAATGTAATTTATTCCTGTGATGGTAAAGCAGAATTTTCCAGTGTGACATGATCCTTCAGAAAAATTCATTCTAATATCCTGATTCGCTACTCAAGCATCATTTAACATTTCTTATTGTTATCAGTTGAAAGCAGTTGTGCTGCTTAATATTTCTTGTGGAATGAAAAATATTAGGTAACATTTTAGATTAGGGAACACATATTCACTATGAACTAAGGGCTTTGCCCTCAATAAACTCCTAATTTGCGGCTTATTAATATTTAGTAAGGTAGTTGTGAAGTTTAGGTATTGGGTAGGATTAAGGGATGTACAATATGGTGATGCAGAATAAGGCATTAATATGTACCTAATAAACAAGTACTAATAAACAGGCAATATGCCAGTAATATACATGCTAATAAGCAACTAGTTAATAGTGAAATAGTGATTATATATATACACACACACACACACATCAGTTTCTGGCAGTTAGTTTGCAGTTTTTTTTTTTGTTATATAAGGGTCTATCTATCATTTGTTATATTTAGACTATATTTAGACCACATACAGATATTTCTGGAAAAGGTAAGAGAGCTTTACCTTCAGAGTTTTCTGTCTGAGGTGTGTGTCCCTCTGAAAGGTTAAAGATGCCATTGTCTGTCCATGTTATTTCAGAGACCTCTGTGTCGGATATAGACAGCTCTTTGCACACGGTGGAGTCCATCTGTATTAGATACTCAATATCAGTTCACACAAAGACAAGAAATGGACATATTATGTATATGATATTATTGTCATATCCTAAAGCCCTCACAGTCTTCAGTGGCACATGATAAGCGTGTGAGTAACAGTATCTGGCCAGTTGTGTGGCAGCTCACTGACCTTGGGGAAAAGTGCAGACAGATCTGCTTCAATGCTCTCTCTCTTGGCTTGTGACTGGAGTATCCTTTTCTCTTAAGCAGGAAAGGAATATGGAAAATGCAAGTCAGCCATGACTTTAAATATTACATTCAAAACCAAACAGAATCGATAAAAATACTTTAGTGTAATTGAAAAATGTGTGTGTACTATGTTTTATATGCTTATTAGTGGTGCTTTGTTAGCTTAGCAACATGCTAATGCCAAACTCCATTGAATTCAATCAGATGAGTCACTCTTTCATAGTGCTAAATGTGTGGTGCGCTCCAAAATTTATTTTGGGGGTCAAGCTACACTGGAATTCATGTAAAATTCAGTAATTTTCTATGTGTGTATTTGAGACGTACCATGATTCTCCTTTATTTTCTGAAGAAACTCGCCCACTCCAAAGTCCAGTTTCTGCAGAACTGGTTCCAACCACATCCCAAACTCATGTGACGACACCAAAGGCCAGAGAAAAATGCCCAGCACTGCAGTAAACAGATGTAGAAACTATTAATGTACGCGTCACTCTTACCAGTGTGTTTGTGAACCTGCTGACTGCTAGGAAGAAAGAGAAACCAGAGACTGAGTGGGAATATCGTCATGGTTACATTTCTAGGAATCCACTATCACATGACAAACAGACTGTTGGATGTTCTCAAGTGTGCTGGAGGTAAATCCAGAAAAGGCTATGCTCACCTTAGCCAATAGTAGCATGGTTACAAACAGTTGTACAAAGACTTTAATGAAAAGATATGGCAAAAGCTGTTAATTACCATCTTTTTTGTGTAGGACCTAATTTGGCACTTACCTAAGATGTATGAAATAACAACCCCTGGAATGTAACGTCCAAGTATTGCCAGAAAAGAACACATACTGCACACCAGCAGACAGAACTGCAATGAGACGCAAATTTAAAATGTCTCAGTTCACTGCAAAAGGATAGTTGACATAAAATACTTTTGAAGAGTTAATAAACTGAGATGTGACATGCTATACTCTAAATCTATTTTAAATATCATTTTGTTAATTCTTTTAAGACCACTGTCAGACCATGAAAAATTTACTAGAGAAGGCAAAATGGTGGTTAAAAGAAATTAAGACTTGACATGATACCCAACATATATCGTTACCCTTTATACATTCATACAAATTTTAACCTACAATCTACATTGTAATGTAAAAAAGGGTACATTATGCAAAAACTAAATCTGTCCATACCTTGCCTGGATTCTGCTGCTTAAAAGAGGAAGTCTCCTCAATGAAGAGCTTGAGGCTCGTCCAGAAGTCTGTGAATGGAGATCCTGATCCAGACTTGCCCTCCTGGACAGAATCAATGACCTCCCAGCTACAATTAAAAGACCAGTAATATAAATTATCATTAAAGTTGAACCAGAAGTAAAGACGACCCTTTCTGCAAAAGCACATATTAATTCATTAATTCAATTAAACAATGTAAACTTCTTTATTTATCATTGCATATCTGCTGAACACATATGCTGCTATATATTTGTAGTGGCCTCTTCTCAACATCTGGAACTGTGATATGACACAACATGCCTATACACTATACAGGACATGTAAATTCATGTTATGGAGGATGGAAAGAATTAAATAAAAATGTAGACCTTATAGTCCATTGTAATAAACGGATGTCAGTGTCTATAGCATGAGCTATAAAGTGTGTATGCCTTTGAAGGCTGATTCTAGCACTATCAGAGCAGACACTGCATTTGTGAAATACTTCACAGTCTGAGTAATGAATGAAGAAATGTACAAGAGGATTCTTATAATATCTAAAATGGGTTCATGAGATAACTGAAAAGGAGGCTTTGACCAAATGTTTGACTTAGTATGACTTTCAGAACGGGGGAATTTCTTGGCATCTAGGGCGGCTTGTTAATGCCCTTTATCTGTGGTAATGCGCCCTACTCCCATCCCCTCACAGCTGTCAGCTTATATTTCCCATCTCCAAAACAAACTGAACAATGCCACCTATATGTCGAAAACTTTTCAAACACAAAGTCCTTCAAACAAACAGATTGACCCCAAAAACATGCTACACATAACCCATGCAATTAGGAACTCTCCTACAGATTTGTTTCCTCCAAAAGGTCATAAACCACCTCCAACATTACAGAGACATGTTTCCCCACCGGAGGTTTCCTATTAAACAGAGCGCATGGGGGCCATGTGACTATGAGGCAACAGAGCTCACATTAGCATTTCACCATCTAAGCGAAAGTGCCAGAGAAAGTGAGTGCAGGCTTGCCCAACCCAGACCAGAGCTGACGACTGGAGATCAATGTGGTGTAATGCTCACAAGTGTTAAGAGATTTCATCAGATGAGATCTTTTGTTTACATCTTTTGGGAAATCTGCATGTTGACTAACACTATGTGGTGTTTGATAGTCAACGCTATTTGAAATCATGGTATGCTTGCTACTGCTAAATGTTATCATGTGAAAACCAAATAAAGTTTGCTGCCTCAAGAAAGTCCAAAATCTTTTAAAACCAAAGAACATGTGTAGAAAAGCCTCTAATGTCTCTGTAAATGCCAACAACAGGTGCCTCTGGATTCTGAGAACCAAACCGCTCGACTAGCTGACTTTCATGCTAATCGCTAAAACAACAAAGAAAGCTACTTGTCTGACACTCAAACAGACCCAGTGACAGAGCACCAAAATAGCTCAAAACAAACAGCTGGGGAATGCCACTGAAAATCAATAGTCTCTCTTAATTTGTAAAATAAGGGTAAAAGGACCTTTGTCATTGGCAATTGCAGTACTTTAACAATGTTTTTAGCTTGTCTGTGGGCCTGTTCAAGTACACTTCATCACATATGACTGACAGGTTCCATGGCTGTGTGATGTACATGCACGTATCAATACCTATAAAGTACTTGTGACAATCGACATGAACTTCCCCCTAGCAAATGTTCCAAAACAAGGGTCACTATGGAGACCACACAGCCACTGATGCATCTGATGCATGATGACTGACATTTGTAATAATTCGGAACAAGCTCTTATCTGAAACATGACAAACCTAACTTTGATGCAAGTAAGATTAAATTAATTACTTGATTCAAATAACATGTTTTTCCAAAAAAAAAAAAAAGACACAAAATAAATATCCAAGTCATATAAACAAAACTAGCCACTTAGGTATAATTCACATAACACTGATTCCAAGTATTCAAAGTTAACAACCACTCTGTCTTTGTACCAATTTCTTCAATGGTGTTTTTTTTTTTTTTTTACCTCAGTGCTTAGCCCCGGTTCTCCGCCGTCATCTCAAAATCTCTAGGTTTCAACATGAAAGGCGTTCAGGTAAGTCAGAAGGTGAATGTGTCAGTGATTAGTTCCAGAGTTCAGACAGAGTCACAAATGAAGTGTCGCATGAAGCCACACTAGCTAGTGTTTATGTTGACCAAGGCCTGTGCTTCACTATTTCAAGCGGTCAGGTCTAAAAATACCAGAGTCACATAGCATTCCACAAGCAGGCATCAGACAGACAGTGCTGGGGCATGAACACACACACGTACAAACACTCCACATAATACCCCCTTAATACCCCACCTCAGTGCTGATCCACGGTCTTCAGCAGTCATCTCAAAATCTCTAGGTTTCAACATGAAAGGCGTTCAGGTAAGTCAGAAGGTGAATGTGTCAGTGATTAGTTCCAGAGTTCAGACAGAGTCACAAATGAAGTGTCGCATGAAGCCACACTAGCTAGTGTTTATGTTGACCAAGGCCTGTGCTTCACTATTTCAAGCGGTCAGGTCTAAAAATACCAGAGTCACATAGCATTCCACAAGCAGGCATCAGACAGACAGTGCTGGGGCATGAACACACACACGTACAAACACTCCACATAATACCCCCTTAATACCCCTCTTCACAGAATGAGACCCTCTCAGAAGAGTATTTTAAATTATGCAAATTATTCTCAATGAAAAATTATCTCCATGCAGGTACAGGGGTATCATAACAAAGAAACTCCCTGACATCACAATAATTTTCCACCGTTTCCTCTCTCTGTTAATCTCACTGATTTATAATAGATTACTGTTTCATTGTGAATGTTTTAAAATCTCATTATATTTAAAGAAATGTTACATTTATTTATACGTTAATAATATTTTAAATATAGAACCTCTTTAGCACAACAAGTAAATATTATACAATATAATTATCATCAAACAAATGAATAATAAAACTACACTAGCAAACATTCAGACAAGAGTCAGCTATATCATGAAAGCAAAATTTAGAAATGTTCTCAGGACAAGGGTATTTTTTTAAATGTTCATTTGGGGCAGGTTGTCACATTTTTATTGTTTTATTATTATTTACATGCGTTTAAAAAATATGTATATATTAAAAATGTCCATTTGAGACAGGTTTTCACATTTTTGTTTTATTTTATAAAATTATACAATTTATTAATTGATTCTTTTTTCAGAAACATCCATTTGGGGCAGATTGGCACTTTTTAAAAAATTATTATTATTATTTACCTGTGTTTTAAATGGTATAAAATTATACAACGTAACAATTAAATATTTAATTTTCACAAATGGTATGAAATAGTTTTCATAATTATTTACATGTTTTAAATGTTAAATGCTATTTTTGTATATTTTACATTTTTGCTGTTTTATCTTTTCATACTCGCTTTATTGTTTACATTTTGCTTACCCCAGTATTGTTTGCTTAAACATCCAGCATGTGACAACATAAATAAACTAAACCATTTTACCTAGTTAATAATGACGTTCAACAACTTTTTTCTATGCAAAACTTCAAAGTATATATACAGAAACTGACTTTCCAAAAATTACATTCCCAGAGAATGGGGGTAAAAAGTGTAAAAACACCTATTCTCCTCTGTATATACAGATAGCAGTTGTTTTTATTATATATATCACCTCTTTATTTATATCATTCTATCTGTTATTATGATTTGGTCATTTGACTGTGATGAAAGGACCATGACTGGTCAGTTGGTCAGCGAACAAATAATACCAATCATCTAAACCTCACCCAGCCTTCCTCCAATGGGCCACTGAGTGTCCAGACACACCCTTTGTTAGTTAGTATCCTGTGATGTGATTGGCTTCTCAGTTGGGACCCTCCAAAATCCTCCCAATAAGAATGGCGAGGAAATGCACTCTTGAGAGCACAAATGGCTGTGTCATTCTACTCACCATGCCACCCAGTCTGAAACATAAACTCAAGTTTCACAACACGACATGCTTCCAGAAGAAAAAAACAACCCACTCCAGTGCATACGTCACAATGTACAGATAAACAAAGTGTTTCATCACTACAAATGAAACATATTAGTACATTTGTATTGCAAATATATTGTGTAAACATTTGTAGCAAAGAAATAGTAACTAAATTTGTATAACCATATAACTACTGTTGGAAGTTTCATAAAAACACAAAAAAATAACAGACGTTCTTAATGTGAAACTTCCATCATCACACTTAAACATAAAGTAACTTCTATGAAATAAACAACACACAAAAAGTAGGGCACAACAGAAAGCTATGGGAGGACAGGGGGCAAAGGGGTCAGAGTGAAGATCCGGGTGAAGACAACTGTTGGAACAGGACTCGCATCAACAGCAGCCGGCAGAAACGAACAAGCTGAGGCAATCCAGCAGCTGTTGGTCAAGTACCCAAGGTTTTAATGAGGCCCGTCTCACATAAACACCACACTGAAGATTACTACACTGGCATCTCACCCACTGGAGCACAATGGTGCCATTGCATTTGTTTTTACCATAAGCATGTAAACAATGACAGGGAATCTTCGGTCAGAGTACAGCACGACGCAAGCCGGATTAAAATAATGGAAAGCCGAAGGCCATTGATAAGCAGTATTGGATAAATTCATCAAGCCTTCCACTAATCCAATACTTTAATAAACTTAGGCCAACTTTTAAATGTTCTCATATGCAAAAGATTTGACGTAAATATTGATTATATAATCTTGGTTCACTTAGACACACTCTTCAAACTACTGCATGAGAAAGGTTACCAGTGTTGTACATTTCTAAGTTTCAAGAAGGTCAGGAGTGCTTTGTTAGATTTCTTAATTAGTCTTGATCTCACAACAGCTCCTTCACAGAAACACTGACATTTCTAAACTCACATGACAGGCTTTATAGATTGCTGTATGTCATCAATAATGCCAATAAGAGGTATAGGACGCACTCTAGTGGCTGCAGGCTGGACTGTAGCTAATGAATGGAAAATACTTGAGGTAAAAACACCTTTATAAATACATTCAGATGTGTGCCCTCCTCAAAATTTTGAGTCAAGTACATTTTCAGTGCAACTACCAAAAGGACTATTTGTATATCTGTTGTAGGTAGATTTGCTTTCAATTAAAATTCTGTCATGTTGTTTCAAACTCATATGAATGCAAAAGGAATTATTAGTGAACATAAAAGCTGCTCTTTTTCTCAAAATGAAAAAATATGGTGATCGCTGTCAAGTTCAGTTTATTAAAAAAATAAATTAAAACGTAGTTCAATCGTTTGGGGTTAATATGACTTTTCAAGAAATGAATACTTTTATTCTGCAAGGATGCATTAAATTTATCAAAAGCACGTTTTCAATGTTACAAAAATTATATTTCAAATATTTTTGTTCCTTAAAGAATCCTTTAAAAAGTGTCTCTTGGTTTCCACAAAAATACTAAATAGCTGTTTTCAACAAAAATCATAAGAAATGTTTTTGAGCACTAAATCAGCATATTAGAATCGTTTCTGAAGGGTCATGTGACACTGAAGACTGGAGTAATGGCTGCTGAAAATTCAGCTTTGCCATCCCAGAAATAAATTACATTTTAAAATATTGTTAATTAAAATAGAACACAGTTTTTTAATTGTAATAATATTTGACAATTTTACGGGATTTTTGATCAAATAAATGTAGCCTTGGTGAGCGCAAGACACTATTTGAATAGGTGTGTATGCTCTAAATTTACCTGCTTGTCATACTCCTCCATAGAGCGGCTCCTGTAAGTAGGAAAATAAACATCCATGGGATCTATGCTGGTGGTGGACACCATATAAAAATTTGTTTCTATTCTTACAGTAACAACAGTCACACATGTTAGGGTATGAAACAAACCCACACCTCTGGATCTGGAAAGAGCCACATCTCTCATCAACTGAATCATCACAAAGAGAGCCACACACATGGAGATGAGGCTGAACAACCGACAGGGACTAAGGGACACAAACCTGCATGGAAAAAGAAAACAACAATCAGGTTTCCCATCTTTAATCACGTGCACAGTTACAGTAAACAGACATCTATCTATCTATCACTTTCGTATGTATAGTGCTTGTTTTTTTTTTAAGATAAAAGCTGTAAAAGTATCTAAGATCTGTCATCATACCTTTAAAAACAGTAAAACTACATGCTCAAGTGTGATTATTATTATTTCTATTTATTCTAATTACAAGTTATGTAAAAGCATGTGCTTTGAGGATGAAACTAATTCCTAATTGCACTCCAAATAAAGGCCTGGTAACCCAAATACGATATTTATCCACATGCCACAACAAGATTTATTCAAAACGAACAAATGCCATAAATACATTGACAACTTTTGTGCATGCAGGGAAATGCATATGAAATTTTGAATTCAAAAGTTTGTCTTCAAAAATGTATCATGCTATGCAAAAGAAACTATTGTCACTAACACAAATGGTCCACCACAGTACGAATAGCAATACAACTGTAGTGAAGTCCAGTGCAACCACAGATAGCCTACAGAGAAAATGGTCAAAGGAAAATGCCTTAGGGGCCAGACTATAAAAAAACAGTTAGGCCTGCTGATTTAATTAGGCAGAGAAATGTAGAGCATTGGAAAGCGATAAAGACTGACCCATTAATGCAATATTTTATTTAAACTCCAACATCACTAGCCTATGTCTTAAAGAAAATGTTATATTTGCATTCATACATTCTGTATGTAATAAAAAATATGCTGCGTCATGTATCTCACCAAAACGCTATATTTGTAGTTGCGAAGAAAGCGGAAGTCCATAATGGTCTTTTCCAGTTAATCAGCTTTGATATACGGCACAGAGGATAAGTGTCTGCAGGGTGTCGGACTCTCGAAGGCTGCTCTTCCTCTTTCTCCGCCATCTCTCCTCCTCCACCTGAGCTAAGTGATCTGGAGGAAGTCTCGCCGGTACCGGCGCTCTTTCCCACCGGCTCCACCTCTGAAGCATCCAGGCTGTCGCATCCACCCTGATTAGCCATAGCAAGCCCCGCTCCTCACGCGCGCTGCCAGCTGCTGTTTATTTTGTTGTTGTTTAGTCGCTGACGTCACTCAGAGGCTGCCCCGGGTTGCTGTTGGGAACTCTTACGTCATCGTTCAGTCAGCTGTGCGACTTTCCACCTGCTCTGGGTTAGGCTACCTCTGCATGCAGCTTATTGCTCGAGATTACAGCCTAATCAACGTTTGTTTGATTTCATTCATATTGCAAGGAAAGGATGCGTTGTTTTCTTCTATTCTTTTAGTTCATCATTAGACATCATTCTGATGCTTTGAAAAATATTTCTTCTTTAGCCTACATTCTTCTTTTACAGTCATATGTAGATAATCTGATATTTTATTTCTTTTGAAGACAAAATATGAATGAACTTTATACGCTCTTTAACCACTAGGGCGCAGTGTACATTACTGTAAAGTGCTTGTATTTTTAACAAAATAAAAATAAATAAATAAATAAAATAATATAAAAGTATAAAATCTCTATATAAAATATAATTTTTAACATCTCGTTGGCCTACGTTCTTCTGCTGTTTAATGTCGTGAAGTTGTGACATATATAGCCTATCTGACCCTGGACCACAAAACCAGTCTTAAGTAGCATGGGTATATTTGTAGCAATAGCCAAAAATACACTGTATGGGTCAAAATGATCGATTTTTATTTTATGCCAAAAATCATTAGGATATTAAGTAAAGACCATGTTCCATGAAGATATTTTGTAAATTTCCTATCATAAATATATCTAAACTTAATTTTTGATTAGTAATAGGCAATGCATTGCTAAGAACTTCATTTGGACAACTTTAAAGGCGATTTCTCAATATTTAGATTTTTTTTGCACTCTCAGATTCCAGATTTTCAAATAGTTGTATCTCAGCCACATATTGTCCCATCCTAACAAACCATACATCAATGGAAAGCTTGTTCAGCTTTCAGGTGATGTATAAATCTCAATTTTAAAAAATTGACACTTATGACTGGTTTTGTGATCCTGGGTCACATGTAACTAATCCCTAGATCATTGGTTAAAATAAAACATGATTGACATTTAATCTTGGCTGTAAGGTCAGAGCCAATATAGTAACACTATCAAAATGTTTGATTGAAGGGTATTGTTATGAACACGTTATAAACATTACTGCACTACACAGAAATTAAGCAGATGAGGACTGTTCTTGACTTGTCAGCTGATCAATATATCTTCGTAAAAAGGATTTTTAACACATCTAATTTCAGACAGCCTACTACCATATTAAGGCAAAAAAAACTACATTAATAAGTATTAAAGCATTTATACTGTATTTAATTATATTATTTTATCATTAAGTGAATATCATTACGGTATCAAGTGTTCCAATTGCCCTCATCTCTCCTGCTTTTGAATGCCAGTGTTGTGAAACTCCAAAGCAATACTTTTTTTCCATTTGAAAAAGAATAAAGAGCTTGCCGAGACATACAAACATATACAAAGTCTTGTATATTGTTATACTTTCCCAGTTGATTGATTACATTAAGAACCGAAAACATTTTAATGTTTATGCAAATGTCACATGTGACGTTATTTAATTAAATATGCACTAGTTTGCACAATTTTCTAAATCAGAAACTTGAATATTGGATAAAGTCCGTTTCAAAATTCTTGTTTCATTTTGCTGACATATTGCAGGTTTTTACAGAGGGGATTCTGGATATCTATTTTCATCACTCTAAACCAGGGGTGTCCAAACTACGGCCCGCAGCTGTTTTAATAGTCTATATTATATATGGCCCGCCAAGCATAATTTACAAAATAGGCCTATGCAGTTTCAAAATGTCAACACAAGATGGCAGCACTAGATTTTAGACCAGATGTAGCAGTAAAACGCGAGCGATATCAATTTGATAACTCATATGCGCTCTCATTTCTTTAGCGCGCGCGAATTCCTAAACGCGTCAAAAGCGGAAGAGCGCGACTCGTTTGAACCGCGCTGCACAGACCGTTTTTAGCTCTGCCTAAAGACAGCGTAGCGCGAGCTCAGAACAAATGCGTTTACTCGCTGACTGATCTCGATCACGAGACCACTAAACAGCGCTGTGAGAAGCGTTTGAGTTTGGAGCAGAGGTTTCCATACAAACCACATATGTCAAAGGCAGATGAAACAGCGCTGACATTCTCAACAACACTAACGCGGAAAATAGGAAAAACATTGTGCGACAACAATGCAGTAAGAATACTTTTCAATCCACAAATCACCAACATTTTGATTTACTGTAGTAACCGTAACTGTGGTATTGTGGCAGAAATGTTGCATATTTATACAGAATCTTCTTATTTAATTAATGTAGACATATAGGCCAATTTAATGTAATGTAAGGGAGTTATGAAATATAGGCCAAATTACAGACATTTTTGATGCAGTTTGTGCTTTCATGTGTTAATAGATTAAATACCATAAAGCCATTCTATGTTATAATTATTAAAGCTTAAAAACAAGATATTTGCAGATTTTTGTCCTCAACAAAACACAAGCTACTGCTACTGTCAACTCAACATCACACATACATACACAATATATATATATATATATATATATATAGGTAGAAGCATCCGGCCCCCCAGTGTTTCCACATCGTCGAATCTGGCCCCCTTTAGGAAAAGTTTGGACACCCCTGCTCTAAACAGCCAGAAAAAAAAAATTTTTCACTGATTTTGAGGGTAAAATGTTGTATGAACTCAGATAATATATAAACAAATCCTTCAGAATATAGACTGAAATAACATTGTAAAGTCTGGTGCATTTAAGTGCAAATAAAGTGAAGATTTCTGGTTCAGTGCATATTAAAAAAACAGCCTTTAATGATATGATATGATAAAATAATCTGAGCATGATATATAAAATACATTATGTTTGGAAATAAATACCAATTCTCATTTTACATGGTAAAATCTCAGTCATACCTGCCTTTGAGAGACAGGCTCAGTGAACAGCATTGACCTAATTTTTGATGTTACACAGTGAACTGTGAACTTCTGAGCTGGCTGGTATTCAAAATTACAGCTTGGAACAAGTTTTAAATAAATGTAAAATATTTTATATTATTGTATAATTCCGAACTTAATATGATTTCAGACAAATGTCTATTTCTGTTTGGAATAATCTTGCATCAAGCAAGCAAAAGCAGCACTGTGTACCAGAAGGAAGTGTGGAGCTACTAATTGGACTGAAATTCAGTGGCAACAAAAGCCCTGGCTAGAAAATTCCAGCCCTGGTTTTACAGGGCCTGCTTTGTTGCCGCAGTGTTTGTTCTCTACTGCTGTGTTAACAGTTATCTTTTCGGTGGTGGCCTCTCCCCACCCTTCCACACAGTGCATGAAATGTTCCTCAGCACAAACCCGTCCAGAGCCACCGTGGCACAGTACAGGCGATACAGACACCAGGAGTGGCCCAACAGCTGCCTCGCAACCATGTTCCCACACAGCTTTGACTACAACCAGCCGATGAGAAAGCGTTGAGAAGAAGGAGACATGATGGGACAGTTCCCGGAGGATGTGGTGGGTGGCTTCACCACAGGGGAACTGGAATGCAAGATCTGCTACTGTGCTTACAGCCTGTCAAGTCGATGGCCCAAGGTCCTCGAGTGCTGCCATTGTCTTTGTGCCAAGTGCCTTGCAAAAATCCTCGATTTAGGTGAATTCTCTCCAAACGCAGTGGTCTGTCCGTTCTGCCGCTACATCACAGACCTTCCCGGAGAAGATGTGGACAGTCTACCAGATGAGTATAACTTGGTGTCGGCACTGCTGTCCATCCAGACACGGAAGCATCAGAACCTTAATGACAACCAAGGCGAGATTCTCCTTAGTCCCAGACGCCTCAACTCTCTGGTGGGACACTCTGCCTCAGCTTCTCCCATCTCGGTTCGTTCCAATTATGTGGTGATCACCATTATGGAGCCTCGGCAGGAGTCTGTTATTCCAGCTCGGGGTAGGGATTACCGCTCTTCCAGCCAGGACTCCATGGCCTCGGTTACTCAGAGATGGACAGTGTGGAACTGTGCGGCCCTGCTGTGCCAGACTTCAGCATGCGTCCTTGTCTGGCTGCTGGGGCTGCTGTACTTCAGCTCGCTGCCTCTAGGGGTCTATCTGCTAATCATGCAGAATGTCACGATGGGGGTGTTGATGGTCAGTCTGGTACCTGTCAGTCTTCTCATCGTCATGGTGTACGGCCTTTGCCAATGCCTGTGCCGTGAGTTTTGGGACTGTGTACCACCATAATGACCAAAGCAATAAGTGTAACGGTTATGTGTGGATATACGATGATTGGATGGTCCTGCCAGTTTGTGGAAACTCATGAATTTTCCGGTTTATTGGATAAACAATGTACACTGAACTGAAAAACAAACAATAAAAGTGCACAGATTTAGTTTAGTAGGCTATCATACAAATCGATGTCATGTTAGAATACTTAAAAATAGTATCCACCTCAACAGAATTATCCACTATATATATATATATATATTTTATAACCGTCGGATTGTTGAATGTGCCTTTTCCTGGAGTGGCTGAAATGGACAGATCAATAATCATGTCCTCTCTAGGCTTGCTGATGTACTTTTTCTCTGTCTGAATGATTAACATACAATAACTTTTACAATAAGGTCCCATTAATTAAAGTTGGTTAATGCATTAACTAACATCAACTAACAATGAGCAATATATATGTTACATACAGTGTACTAATCCTTGTTAATGTTAGTTGATAAAAATACAACTGTTGGCTCATGTTCATGTGCATTAAATAATATTAACAGATACACTTTTGATTTAATGAGTAAATGTGGAATTTAATAAGATTAAGTAATATTAATGAACTAAGATTGCATAACAAAGATTAATAACGAATGCAGTTAACCAATGTTAATAAATGGAACCTTATTGTAAAGTGTTACAGATGATTGCAATATAAAGCCCTTAACCTACAACATCTCATACTGAATCATGGGTAGGACACATATTTTAATATTTTAATCATGTTTATTAGTTCGACTTTTCCATGATTTTCTTGGAACACAAATGCATGTGAGGCA